ACGATGAATGCAACACCATTTCTCTTCAACTTGTCATTCCCTGCATAGTAAACCATGTGGTTGTCAGATTCAAAATGGACAATACCAGTCCATTTCAGTTCACTAATGCCTAAGATATCGGTGTTGATGCGTTCCATTTCATTTTTGACAACTTCCAATTGTCCCAGATTCATACTTCGTACATTCCATGTTCCGATTTTCAATGGATGTTTACAGCTGTTTCTCTTCAGTTTGATTTGTGGCCCATTAGCAAATGAAGGTTCTGTGAGCTTTTCTCTACTTGGAGGAGGCATTTTTTTTTCTGCAGTCGCATTCTGAGTACCTTCCCACCTTCCGGTCCTGTATCTGGCAGTGTTTCTCTGCTATCCATAGAGTTTTCAGTGACTAGATTCGCAAGTAGTTTGTCACTCTTTCTTCCTAGTCTGTCTTTGTTTGAAAGCTCATCTGAAACCTGTCCACCATGGGTGACCCTGCTGGTTATTTAAAATACCGGTGGCAGAGCCCTCAGAATCACAGCAATTTAGAATGAGTTTATTTTATTTGGTTTGGGTTTGGAAGATTGGTCAGATTATAAAGAAACTTTTGTGAGTTTATTGTCCTTTAGTCTCTATTTTTGTTACCTACAGAGTGATTTGTTGTTGTTGTTAGGTGCCATTGAGTCGGTACCAACTCATAGCGACCTTATGCACAGCAGAACGAAACACTGCCTGATCCTGGGCCAACCTCACTACTATTGCCTTGTTGTTGCTGTTAAGTACTGTGAAGTCGGTTCTGACTCATAGTGACCCTGCATAAGGTTTCCAAGGCTGCAAATGTTTATGGGAGCAGAAAGCCTCTTTCTCCTGCGGAACAGTGATAGTTTCGAACTGCTGACCTTGCGGTTCGCAGCCCAATTTAGTAACCACTACTCTACTAGAGCTCCTTACCTAGGTTGCTCTGATAAAACTTTCTTGCTCTGGTCTTGTTATTCTTACTACATGACTGGGTGGGCCTATGCAAATGAGGTACTTGTAACCTATTCAGGGGATTGGATAGCTTACTAATAATGCAGGTAAGGTGCCTGGCACCTGTGTGGTGGTGGTGGTTATGTGCCATCAAGTCAGTTCTACCTCATAGCAATCCTATGTAGGGGTTCAGTGGCTATAAATCTTTCCCAGAGCAGAAAGTCTCATCTCTCTGTCACAGAGCAGCTGCTAGATTTGAACTGCTTACTGCAGTTAACAGGCCAACATGTAACCCACTGTGCTACCAGGAAGGAGTTCATGTAGGTTGTTGTTGTAGTTAAGTGCCGTCGAGTGGGTTCTGACCCATTGTGACCCTGTATAGGGTTTTCGAGGAGTGGTGGTGAGCTTAAACCGCCGACCTCATGGTTCAAACCATCTGTTCAGTTCAGCGCATTAACCCACAGTGCCACATCAAGAGTCCTGTGTAGGGTTGGGACCATGCAAATAAGTGTGTTTGTTTTTGTAGGTGCCGTTGAGTTGGTTTCGCCGTATATAAAGCCCTGTGTTTAACAGAACGGAACCCTGCCCGGTGCTGTGCCCCTCGCAGTGGTTGCTCTGTGAGCCCATTATTGCAGCCCTGTCAGTCCATCTCGTTGAGGGGCCCCCTCATTTTCACTGTCCCTCCTCTTTACCAAGCATCATGTTCTTCTCCAGGGACTGGTCCTTCTTGACAATACGTCCAGAGTATGCTAGACAAAGTCCTGTTGTCAGTGCTTCCAGGAACAATCCAACTGAACTTCTTCCAGAATAGATTTTGCCGACACCATAATTCAGATGCATCAATTTTTCCATGGTCTTCCTTATTATTCATTGTCTAGCTTTCACATGCATATGAGGAAATAGAAGATACCATGGCTTTGGTTAGGTGCACCTTAGTCCTTAAAGTGACATCTTTGCTCTTTAATACTTTAAAAAGATCTTTTGCAGCAGATTTGCTGACTATATAATGTCTGCTGACTTCTTGACTGCTGCTTCTGTGGACTTTGATTGTGGATCCAAGGAAAAGGAAGCTTTTGACAACTTCAGAATTTTCTCTGTTTATCCTGATGTTGTTTATTGGTCTAGCTGTGAGGATTTTCATTTTCTGTATATTGAGATGCATTGCATACTGAAGGCTGTGGTCTGATCTGTATCAAAGACTGAGAAAGTCCTATACCCAGGAGACAGAGCGAGAGCAGCAACTCTGGACACAGCTTAACATAGTGAGAAGCAGCTTCGGCAGACTGGCATGAGACGCTGCCGTGGGCGTCCTGGTCTGTGCAGTAAGGCAGTTACGGTGAATGCACCGCCCCACTGACACAGAGACCTGAGTGCCTTTGAACAGGAGGCTCCCTGACCACGAGGGATCCTTCTGGGCACTTGTCAGTAGAGCTAGATTTGCTGACCTATGAAGTGAGAGAGTTGAGCACCTTTGGCCAAGTCTTGCTGGTGGAGGGACGTACCCTTGGGAACTTCCTAGTAGAGCTAAAGAGCTTTGTCCCACTTGCCCAAGTAAGGCCGAGACCAGGCCGAGGGGCCAAGTGGCTGAGGCCCAGAGAGATGCCTGCCTGTGAAATGGCTGAGGAGAGGCTGCTCACTTCAGAGAGCTGTATCCTGGTGTAGTCTTGGTCTTGAACTGTAGTCTGTTGCTTCCGTAATAAACCCCACCACTGAGTGTATGCTCTATGAGTTGTAGTCGTCATTACAACGAATTGTCAAACCCAGCCGAGAAGTGGAGCACCATGGGAGTATATAGGATGGAGAGAAGAGATAGGTGTGGCTTCCACCTCACAAGACTCATATCATATGCTCATGGACTCCTGGTATGGCACTGTAAGGTAAACACTGGACTGCTAACGACAGGGTCGGTGGTTCAGACTCAGAAACCTTCTACAGGGTTTCTATGAGTTGGAATCAACTTGATGGCACTGAACAACAACAATATGCCAATGATAATTCCTTCTTCTTCCCCTTTGTTCTTGATAAGAAACCTTATTACACCATCATAGCGTGGTTGTAATTCTTTAGAACGCTTAATTGTGCTCATGAGAAACCTGTACAAAGACCAGGAAGCAGATGTTGAGCAAAAGTAGGAGACACTGAATCATTTGAAATCAGGAATGATATGTACCAGGATTGTATCCTTTCACCATACTTATCAATCTGCATGCTGAGCCAGTAATTGAAGATGCTGCATTATGTGAAAAAGGGCATGGCACAGGATTGAAGGAAGACTCATTAACAACTTTTGACATGCAGTTGACATAATCTTGCTTGCTGAAAATGAAGAGGACTTAAAATACTGTTTGATGATCAAAGACCACAGCCTTCAGTATGGATTGTACCTCAATGTAAAGAAAACAAAGATCCTTACAACTGGGCCCATAAGTAACATGATGAACGGAGAAAAGATAGAAGTTGTCAAGTTCATTTTGCTTGTATCTCCATTTAGCACTCATGGAAACAGCATTTAAAAAATCAGACAACTTATTGCATTAAACAGATTTGTTGCAAAACACCCCTTTAAAATGTTCAAGAGCAAAGGAATCAGTTTGAGGACTAAGGTGCACCTGACCTAAGCCATGGTATTTTCAGTCGCCTCATATGCATAAGAAAGTTGGACAGTGAATAATGGCAGAAGAACAAACAAATCTGTCTTAGAAGAAGTGTAGCCAGAAGGCTCTTAAGAAGGACATTGTGCTTGGTGAAGTGGAGGGTCAGCGAAAAAGAGAAAGACCACCATCGAGATGGATTGGCTTAGTGGCAGCAGCAATGGGCTCACGTATTACAACAATTGTGAGACTGGTGCGGGGGCCAGGCAGTGTTTCATTTTGTTGTGCACAGGGTCACTGAGTCAAAGACGATTCCATGGCACCTAACAACACCCGCGTTATCAAATTAGCTCCACAATTATTTAGTAAGAGCATTGTGTTAAGTGCTTTGGAGCCAGAAAGAAGGATTCTTTACACTTGCCTTTTGTTCGATAGGTGTGGTTAATTCGCTGGACTGCAAAATTGGTTTGAACCATAAGGTCAGTGGTTCAAGCTCACCAGTAGCTCCTGGGAAACCCTATACAGGGTCGCTATGGGTTGGAACCAACTCGACAGCACTTAACAACAGCAAAAAGTATTTGATAATTCATTAGACTCATCTTCACAGTTACCTCATGAGAAATGGTCCCCTTTGTCAGTCAGCTAAGAAAATGGAGGCTTCACACTAAAGAGTTCTTTCTCCCAAGGCCATTCCTCAGCTTTTCTGACTCCATGCTCAGCTTTCTCTCCTTGAGGCTCTCACAGCTTGTTTTTTGAGATAGGTATGGTTATCCCGGAAGAAAGCTGGGCAGAACAAGTGCGCAGGCCTTGCAGAGAGGGCAGAGTGCATCTGATGGGGGACAGTTCCTATAGTTAGTTGGTTTGGCAGAATGGAGAACATTAGAGAAACAGAATGAGCAAAGAACCCGAGTGTGTGGAGGAGGAAGAAGAGCCGACCTGTTGAGAGACGAGGTGGGCGCTGTGGGTAGCTGGGTTCTGAGTGTGAGAAAGCAAGAGTTGTCTGAAGGATAATCTTGAGTACAGGTGGAGCCAATCAGATTTAACCTGATTTCAGCTAAGTATGGAAGGACATTTGGAGTGAGTGAGTGAAAAAGAAATCTGAGGACTGTGACAAGGACATTACTAATACTGCTTGACCAGCCAGGGGCCTAGAATTGTGCCCTCAAGAGTGGGTGGGAAGAAGAACCTACAGAGGGAGAGAGGAGGACCTTTCAGCTCGGAATTTCCCTGTAAGACTGCAAAAAAAAAAAATGACCTTTCCGTTTCTTGTCCACCTGGAAGGAAAGGCCTGTTGCTACCTGTCTCATGTAGTGAGGCTTTTTCTGTTTTGTTTTTTTAAATGAAATACAACAAAGTGCATTCGTAGTCAAATTTCATTGGTGTGGCTCTTTTTTTCTCAAAATATCCTGCATGACATAGTTGTCAGTGATGCGTCAGTTGCCTCTCTCTGCTCTTGTTCACACAGCCTGGTGTACTTGGCTACTTTGAGTTCAATGGCTCGCCCCAACCCCCTGGGTACTTGACCTTCTTCACATCAGCATTACATTCATTAAAGAAAGGTAAGATGTTTTAACAAACGTGGGTTTCTAGTGATTTCTTTTGTATATGTTATCATTATGATTCTATTTTGTAAAGTTGATTTACTTGAGTCCTTTTCTGAATGTGCTTCTAGTAAGTATTTAAATTGGTTCATGTGCCATCAGTAGCAAGCAGAAAATACTGTATTATTTGAAATGCAGTCTCATAAATAATGAGCTTTGGAAAACTGTATCTTCATCATACCCTGTAGTTTTGCATTTTCCATTTTAAATTTTATTATACTGTAATCATTGGTTTTCTAGAGTTACAATCTCCGGTCAGAATTTTCAGTGGTTCTATGTATAATCTGTCAGTTTGGTCTGCTATAATTTAGCAGTATATTTTCTCTGTGGAATAGTTTTGCAAGTCTGAAGTCATGTCACATTGCAGTGTATTTTTCATGTTTGATCCAAGCTTTCTGTCAGCACTACTTCTAGGTCCTATTGGACCCTTTTCCATCCGTTCACTTGTTTCCCTCTTCTTTGTTCTCACCATAGTCCAAGGTGCCAGTACCCCACATCTGGACTGTATGAGTAGATGCTTAACTCTTGCCCATTTTTTTCAACCCAGTTTAAGAGTGATGGTCATAGACCATAAATCCCAGCTCACGTCTCTCCTCTGCTTTCAGATCTTCCATGGCAGCCCAGTGCATGTAGGGAAAACTCCACAATTGTGACCTCCGCTGCCTTTGCCCTTTTGTAGCTGGCCCTAATGCTCTGGACGTGGACTGCATTGGCCTTGAGTTGGCTACCTGCTTCCTCACACCAGGGCCTTTGCAGGTGTTAGTTCTTCCATCTGGAATGTTCTCTCCTCTACCCAGGCCAGCTTTCCACCTGCCAGATCTCTATTCAGTCATCCTTGAGAGCCAGCTCAAATTTTGCTTTGACAATCTGAATAAGTCTCACTCCCCCAGTCTCAGTTTGGTGTGAGATGAATTGCTGAATAGAAGTGAGGGCGTCTGAGAGTCGAGCCGTGTATGTCCGCTCAATGAGCCCTCTCCAGTGCCTGGCACATGCAGGGGCTCTGTCAGTATCTGCCAAACGTGTGGGGACACCCATGACTGTGTCATCTTGTCCCTGTAGATCCTCCTGAAGTATGTAAACATCCTTCGGTTCATGGCTTCATTTTATTGTTTTAAATAGCATTTCATTTTGTTTTAGGTAAAGTGTACAAGTGGCAAGTTAGGTTCCCTTTAACAATTTGTAACCCATTGTTGTATGCCGTTTGTTGCATTGTATCCATTCTGTTTCCTTTCTCTTCCTGATACTAGAGTTTAGTAAGACAGAAAACAAAAACGTTGGTGAAGTGTGGAGAAACTGCAGCACTCATACCCACACTGCTGTGGGACTGTAAAATGGTGCAGCCATTGTGGAAAGCAGTATGATGCTTCCTTAAATTCGAACTAGAAATACCATTTAACCCAGTAATCCCACAACTCATTTCTTAATCCTAAAGAAATAAGAACTGGGAGATGGGCAGATAAATGCACACTCATGTTCTTTGCAGCATTATTTACAATGGCAAAGAGATGGAAACAACCTAAGTGCCCATCACTGGATGAATGGATAAACAAAGCTATGGTACATATATTCAGTGGAATACTCTGCAATGCTAAAGATTAATGAATCCCCTCAACACCTCACAGTGTGGATGAACCAGGAAGATGCTATGTTGGGTGAGATAAGTCAGTCACAAAAGGACAATATTGTATGGGCCCACGATTACAAAAAGTCAAAGAAAAGCTTAGAACCAGTCATAGGACTGGGCAACATTTACCTCTGTTGTACATGGGGTCACTGTGAAATGGAGCTGACCGGATGGCACCTAACAACAACAACAACAACAGCATCATTAGCAACTAGATGCTGATGATGCCAAAGAAGACCAGAGCACTCCCTGCTCTCAGGTTATTCTCAGTTCTGTGACGGTGACAGAAACTGAAGTCTGAAAATTTTTAATAAAAAAACAATTTGTCAGAGTTCCAGTTCATACTTTCCTTGCCTTTTTAAAAACAAAACATTTTGTTTAGCTTTAGGTGAAAGGTTATATAGCAAATTAATTTTCCACTCCATAATTCAGACACAAACTGTTCTGGTACATTGGTTACAATCCTGACAATACGTTAACGATCTCCCCACTTCCTCCCTGGGCTTCCCGTTTCCGTTCATCCAGTTTCCCTGTTGCTCTCTGCCTTTCTATCTGTGGTTATGGGCAAATTAGATGGCTTTTTTGGTAACTGGATATTAGATTACTTTTTTGTTGTTGCTGTTGGGTTTTTCATTTGTTTTTGCTCTTATAACAGTGTTTTTAAACACAAAACATTTTGTTTTGCTTTAGGTGAAAGGTTATATAGCAAATTAATTTTCCACTCCATAATTCAGACACAAACTGTTCCGGTATATTGGATACAATCCTGACAATGCGTTCACAATCTCCTCACATCCAACAATTAATACATCCAACAATTTTGAGACTGTCATTTTTAATATCTAATTAAAGAACCTGCTGTGTTCTAGTTGTTCACCTGTGGGGGAGATTCAGGGAAGAAATCAAATGGTGACATAAATAGGTCTTCTGTCCACTTGGAAGCCTTGGAGCTGCAGTTGGAAATCAAAGTGTACACTTTGGAAACAAAATGCTACCTAAATTAGCTTAAGAAGCAGAGATTCCAGCTCTTTATGGTATAGTAAACAAAGCCCTTCAAAGAGCTCCTCAGCGGAAGATTATGTGTCATGGGACAACCTCGAGACCATCACTAAAGTGGCGGCAGCGTTGGGGTTCCAGGTTTTGGGAGAATTGTTCTGTGACCTCGTTCACTCAGTTGTGTTCTGCTCTGCCATGCAATCAGAAATACATCATTCTTCTTCATTTAGGCTTTTATTCAGCGGTTTCCTAAAATGTGCTTTTTTGGGAATAAACCTCTCCAGGTACACGACAGTATCCTTTTCTTTCCTTTTAGCTAAGAAATGTGGTTGTTGTTGTTAAGTGCTGTCAAGTTGATTCTGACTCTTAGCGGCCCTGTGTACATTTCCAAGGAGCGCCTTGTGACCTCTGGGTAGCAGTCCAACGCTTATCTTATAGCGCTACACTTATACTCTCTCTCTCTCTCTCTATATATATATATATATGTATACACATACATACATATAATATATGTTGTTAAGTGCAGTCGAGTTGGTTCTGACTCATAGTGACCTTGTTTAAGGTTTCCAAGGAGCAACCTTGTTGGTTTGAACCACCAACCTGTGGTTAGCAGGCGAGAGGCTATAAATCTTCGTGGGAGCAGAAAGCCTTGTCTTTCTTCTGAAGGAAGGAGATACATGGGTAAAAATTACTTTCAAGTACAAAATGAACCTCCTTGCTCGAATTCCTGATCTTGATGAGTGAGTACGAGAAGGCATCCAAATTTTGTTTATGTAAAAAATGGAATGAAAAGATAAGTGGAATTTGTCCATGACCTTTTTGAAGCTCCTTTGTACTTGAGAACTCCAAGAGTAAGTATTAGCCCAATTTACTTTTACTCTATTTCTGCTCTGTTTTGTTATATCTACAAGTGTGCAGGAGCTGAGATTCATCCTCATTAACAATCACACCTCATTTTTTGGGTTGTTGTTGTTTGCTATCAGGTCGGTTCTAACTCATAAGCAGCTGGTAAGTTTGAACGACTGACCTTTCAGTTCAAACTGACCTTAAGGTCGAGGGCTTACCTTGTGGCACCATACCAGTGGGTTAGGTCCTACTTAAGCTTGATGTTGTTTAGTTGTTAAGTGCTGTTGAGTCAGCTCTGACTCATAGCGACCCATATAGGGTTTCTGAGGAGCAAATGGTGGGTTGGAACTGCCGACCTTGCAGTCAGCAGGCCAATGCTTATCCTACAATACACACCAGGACCTTCCACTTAAGCTTGAAAGGAACCATTTTATATACTAGGGCACATTTGGAAGGATGCTTTTTTCCCTATAATACTGAGCATCTGGATGCCCCCCCGCCCTTTGCTTTCTTCTACTCTGAATTCAGGTGATATTTTCCTCATCATTAATCGAGATGAGGTAAGAGAAACATGCAAGCCCTCCTTCTTGTACTAGTTAAATCTCAAATATAAATTTCAGGTTAGTGTCAGTTTAGATTATGTACATAGATCAGAGTCTGAGAAACATTTGAACGTGACGCACTTAGCAGTTGATTAGACAAAGCTTAACTGAAGTCCTTCCTGTTTAGACTGTTGTTATTGTTGTTGTGATGTGCCGTGGAGTCAGTTCCAACTCACAGCGACCTGGTACAGGGTTTCTGAGGCTGTAAGTCTTTACCGGAGCTGAAAGCCTCATCTTTCTCCTGTGGAACAGCTGGTAGTTTCAAACTGCTGACCTTGCAGTTCGCAGCCCAATTCGTAACCACTACGCTACCAGAGTGCCTTAGAATGGTGTGGTAGAAAGCTACAAATATTAACAAAATGCTTGCCTTCACCTTCCTTAATGGTTTTTTTTGTCCTAGAAATAGCCAGGGTATTTTCTGAGGTCTATGTTTGTTTCTTTTTCTTTTTTTAAATTTTATTGTGAATTATGTGATACTTTAAATGGGAGAAATTAGCTTCACACTCATCCTATCATATATCGTTTCATTGTCATGATTACAATCTCCTCCATGCATCATCAAACAACCAAAGGGTACATCCTACATCCCAAAAGCCTGCCCCTCAGTCGTCAGCACACAGCCCCTCTCCCTCTCTGAGTCTAGAGTCCCCAGCCGCTCCATCTCTCCATGCCATCATCTCTGCCTCCATCTCTGGCATCACTGTTTCTCTGGGTAGGGTTCCACACTCCCCTCTTCACCCTTGATGGTCCCAGGGACCTCCGCTCCTGGACTACCAGATCAACCACTCCCCTCCTTTTGCTACAAAACACTTACCTTTACATTTCCAACCCTCACAGTCAGTCCTGATAGCAATTACTCACTATTGTGCCACATGAGTGCTAGCCCCATC